AATCCTACATTCCGTCGGCGTCGTCGTAGTCGTCGGCAGCGTCCACAAATATTCACTCTGTGGTTACAGTTTTTGAAATTTTAATAACTTTCTTAAACTATCCTAGATTTCTACCAAACTTGGACAGAAGCTTGTTTATGATCATAAGATTATATTCAAAAGTGAATTTTGTAAAAAAAAAATTCCATTTTTTCCGTATTTTACTTATAAGTGGACCTAGTTTTTCTGCCAGGAAACATTACATTCACTCTGTGGTTAAAGTTTTTGAAATTTTAATAACTTTCTTAAACTATCCCAGATTTCTACCAAACTTGGAAAGAAGCTTGTTTATGATCATAAGATAGTATCCAGAAGTAAATTTTGTAATAAAAAAATTCCATTTTTTCTGAATTTTACTTATAAATGGACTTAGTTTTCTGCCAGTTAACATTACATTCACTCTGTGGTTAAAGTTTTTAAAATTTTAACAACTTTCTTAAACTATCCTGGATTTGTACCACACTTGGACAGAAGCTTGTTTATGATCAAAAGCTAGTATCTAGAAGGAAATTTTGATAAAATTTTGTTCCATTTTTTCCGTATTTTACTTATAAATGGACTTAGTTTTTCTTCCAGTCAACATTACATACATTCTGCAGTTTAAGTTTTTAAAACATTTATTAGATTCATAAATTATCCTGGATTTTACCAAACTTGGACAGAAGCTACTTACAATCAAAAGATAGTATAGAGAGGAATATTTTTATTAATTTTTTTCCTCATTTTTGTTGAGCCTGCGATTAACACCAAAAGTAGGCGAGACACTGGGTTCCGCGGAACCCTTACGAATTTTTATTAATATTTGCTCTTTTGGGAGATAGTTGCACTTTGTCATTTTTATGCCCCATTTATGGGCATTATGTTTTTCGGTCTGTGTGTCTGTTCGTTCGTCCGTCTGTCCTGCTTCAGGTTAAAGTTTTTCACATTAAAGTTTTTGGTCAAGGTAGTTTTTGATGAAGTTGAAGTCCAATCAACTTAAAACTTAGTTCACATGTTTGCTATGATATGATCTTTCTAATTTTAATGCCAAATTAAGAGTTTTGACCCAAATTTCACGGTCCACTGAACATAGAAAATGATAGTGCGAGTGGGGCATCCGTGTACTATGGTCCTACTTTGACTTTGTTATAATACAGTTACTTCAGAGTGGAGTGCGGGGCATCACTTTGTCTAGTTTTTTAATTGAGATTGTGTTTTTGAAATTTTTAAAACAGAAATTTTATTCATTGAACTCCTTGTGCAAATGATTCCTACACAGAAACAAGTTTTACTGTGCTTAAATACTCAGTGATCTTTACTCATTCATAAATCACCTGAAATAGTTTTTCAAGTTCAATTCAAACTGCTCAACTATTAAAAAAATTTCAAGCAATTGCTAGTGAAAGGTTGTTTAGTCATATTAGTATAAAGCAAGTTTAATGTAATATAAACAAATATTCTACCATCCAATTAGAGTTATTAACTTTCTTTTTCAAATAAGTTTGCAACAATTAAAACACTTAGTTACAAGGAACAATTGTTTTACTTGGATATGAAAACAATCACAATGAAAATTTGCCAGTACTTAGATATGAAAATTTCCATATTTATAATGACAGTTTTAAAAAGTTTCTGTAATTTTTTAGATGGTTCACTTTAACAGATTTTTTTAAAGAACTATTTAGTAATTATGATAATGGATTGTTTGGTGAAATACAAGTCTGAACAAATTTTAAGTGGACTTTTAGAATTAATACCTGAATTCCTTTTCATGGACATTATTTTTTTTACAATAAGCAGAGTTGTAGTAGACGTAAGCTCCATGGTCCCTGTTGCATGATTTTTTTCAGACCTCCTACTTTTTGCAGTTCATGCATCCCAGGGCCATCTCATTCTTTTTTTTTAACTTTTATTTGTTATAGCATCTTACAGCATGTATCAGAATATCAATAATTCCCTGGATACAATTGTTGGTCATCTAGTTAATCTTTTTACCCTAGCTCCAAGGGTGAGGGGGTAAAACTGGTTCAGCTCTGTCAGATAGTCCAATTCTGTGTTGGTCCATCTGCTCTGTGAAATTATTGTCACTTTTTTTCTCAGGAACTATAAACTAGGTCATCCTGAAATTTTGTATCAAGCTTAATGTGAGTATGGTATACTGTCTGATGCATTTTCAAACGAATTGCTTATGAACTTCAGGGTTCTAGCTAGAATTTAAGGGCAGAGGTGCACTTTAAAAAAAAAATTGGAATAATTGAAGGCTTTAATGTTTTTTGTTGGATTTATGGTATTTTGGGTTGTAAAAGCTTTAACAAGTAGAAAATACAATTTTTTTGCACTGAAAAATACTTATTTTCCTTCAGAAAACAAAAAGCATATAGTGCAGGAGCAAAAGGTCAGAAGGGAGCACAGAGAGGACACAGAGGCACTGTGCCCCTCTAATTTGGGTCTGCAAGTGCTATGACACTAAACTTCATGTATACCAAATACTTATATATTCTAACACCCAATCAGAGTTTCCTGAAATTTGGTATCAAGCTTTATGTGAGCATATTCTATACTGTGTGATGTGTTTTCACAGCCATTGCTTATCAACATCATGTTAACCAATAGTTTTCATGGTTTTAGCTAGGGTTTCATTGGTGAGTAATAGCTTACATCTTGTTGTCCAAGCTGTTATTGTAATTACATCTTGATAAGGATATTGACATGCATAAAATCTATTAATTATCTTTTTACTGTTAGCAGCTGTTTATGTAAACAATATTTCTTAAATAAATCAAATTTAAAAATCTAGCATTTTTGACAAAACGGGAGACACCCAATTCAAGACTTATTTTTGTCTTATTCGATTTATGCTTGAAATAGATATCATACAGCATGATGTTTATCATTGCTATCATTATTGATACCATGAAAGGGTTATTTTTCAGTGAAGATGTTGATATAGTAAGTTTTCAAATTCTGGAATTATTTTAAGATGTTGAATGACATCTTTTCATATACATGACATACTTAATAAAGGTTTTTGGCCTCATTGCACTTCCCATTAGATACGAAAGCTCTTCATACAAGGTGGCCCTGAATATGCATGCAATATTTGCCACTAGACATTAGGCTAACAAAAGTCAATCTTTATACAATAGCAAATCTTGAAAAACAATGTCCAGGAATATATCCTCTTTTTTTAAGTATCAAATTAAGATGCAACATAATATTTTATCCTTAGAATTTGATGCATTCAACTGTCCTGAGGTAACATAATATTTTATCCTTAGAATTTGATGCATTCAACCGTCCTGACAAATGCCTGAAGTAACATAATATATTATCCTTAGAACTTGGTGCATTCAACTGTCCTGAGGTAACATAATATTTTATGTGGAGGACTCCTGTACATGTAATGATAAAAAAATTTGCTCTTTGCATACATGTACTCTTGGCTTTTTCATTGGACCTAAGGATTGAGAACCCTGGTTTAAGCAAATACTGACATTAGGTATGAAGAAGATTAAATGCAAATCTGCCTAAGAATCAGGCAGTGGTGAAAACATGACAAACAAAAACCTGCTCAAGTTTACATTCATTTAAGTTCAAAATGTTCAATGGTGCATGAATATAACATTCATTTCCTTTATCTGTTCTGTTATTTCAAGATATAATTTGGATGAAATGCACTAGAAATTAACAATTAAGGGGAGCTAACTCAGTAATTTGCTATCATTCTAACCAAAAAGTATCTAGAGATTACTCGATTAGCAGACACTCAGAAACAAAGACCTACCATTTCTAACTCAGGATGAACATGATGAAGTTAACACCAAAATAGGATGATTAGGTCCGAGGGTTTTTTCTGCCATGTTTTGATATTCTTCTAAATTGCCTGATTCTTACAAAGACTGGCACTTTATAACATTGAATAAGGTAAATATAAAACCATCATTGGAAACCAATGTTTATGTTTTACTCCTATGGTCATAATGATAATGACCAAATGCTGAACCTGTCATTTAAGATTCATTAAAGGAAAAGTTGCCAAATATCATGCCCATTATGGTATAGAATTTATTCAAACTCTTTAAAAAATTTATTTAAAATGTATTAAAACATAATCATGATAATTCAAAACTTCAAAACATCCATAGAAAACAAAACACAATGTATGAAATCGTTATAAAGTATAAACACTTTTTTGTGTGTATTCACACTGGACGCCATCTAATTAACCATAGGCATGACCCATGATTACTAAGGATGGACGTGTGACCCCATTTGGCATAATTATTATGAATATAAACAGACAGGTAAACACAAATACAAATAGACAAGTAAGCACATGCCACAGTATAATGTTGATTTTTTCTCAGTTCTGTTTGATCTCATTTTATAGATAAAACATCTAAAATAAATTTAAATCATTTACTCATAACCTATAAAAGACTGATTTTTTTGTGGGTCGAATCAACCAAGGAAATTAGTCTTCCTGTCGCTGTCTTCCCTAGTTATTTCACCTAACATTGGTTTCAATCACTGGACATGCTTGCACATGCCCAACAATCTCCCACTAAGGGTTAGATTGAAGGTTGCATGCATATGGACCCAAATGAGGTTGAATTATTGTCTTACAAGACGATAATATATATCTACGATGTTTTCAACTTATTTTTACAAATTGAACCAAACTGGCTGCTAAAAGCAAATTATTATTTCAATATTCAGCTTTTACAAATGTTTGAAACAAAACAAATCATACTCTAATTTCTGGTCTTATTATTAGCTAATGCCCCTTTAAGCTTTCAAAAAGGAAGGACATTTAGAAATCTAGATTTCCTGTTTTTACAAAACAAACTTAACCTAGTAGTCTTTACATGTAGAATGTTCTGTTTGAGAGTTTTATTGTATGACCTAATTGGTTGACAAACATTGCTGTTTTTTGTTATTGACATTTTAATTATTTGGCTGTATTATATATTTGTTTGCAGTGAAAGCAGTATGTTTATAACACAGAAACGATTCATACTAAAAACTTGTGGTAGGACGACTCTGCTACTTGCCATGGAACCATTAATCAGATTGGTACAGGAGAAATGTGGTGACCATAAAGTTGTGGTAGGTTATAGATGTCCCTAGGGTTTTGTTGCATGACTGAAAAAAAGGCAAAGTTACTTTGCCACCATTTTCTGCCATAGGTCATGTATATGTTGTCTGCCACCCCTTAGACAATGTGAATTAAAAATCTTCTGTTTTGAATCCACTGAGCCAACTTAGTCAAAATCATCTGTAGGATGAATAGTTTATATATTGATCTGATAATCTCTCAGATCAATCAAGATTGCTGAAGTTACTAGGAAAATGTAAAAATAGAATAAAAGTAATAAAAGTAATGAAAAATTCCTTTTATTTATTTTTATGTGTTTGGAAAAAGTTATAGTGATGATCCCCATTAAGAATTATGGTTAAAAACCACCAACTCCCATCAAATAAGGCAGCCATTAATGTTCATAAATATTATTGATAGAAAATGTTTGAAAATTATAAAAAAAAAAAACCTAAAATGGGGCATATTTTGCAACAAATTTTTTGATAAATATTGCATTTATAATCAACATTATCATGGTTATTGACCAACAAGCATGAATTATGACTGCCTTCATTACTTAGATAGCAACCTTAGGACAAAATTTCTGAAAAATTATGTATAACATGTTACTTGTATAATCGATCCACTTTAAGAATTATTGTTGATGTCCTTGATCGTCATCAACCATTGTGCTAGAATAGAAATTTTTACAAAATTCATTATTCAGCGTGTATCAACCATTGTGCTTGAATAGAAATTTTTACAAAATTCATTATTCAGCGTGTATCAACTATTGTGTTAAGATAGAAATTTTTACAAATATTCATTATTTGGTGGTTCGAGCAAATTTGATATTTGAAAAGGTCTTTTAGACTTCCAATGTAAAAATATGAAAGGGCCCTACACTAATTAAACCAATGATTCTGAACAAAATAATATGCATTCATTGTTTTGGGGGGAAAATGACTGCAATCTTTTATTTTGTGTTTTATAACATGCACACAGATTCACTGCACACAGATACAATATTTTTGCATTTGAGATAAATATTCAATTGAAAAAAGCTAAGATTTTTTCTTTCTGTTTGACAACATCATGCATAGTGGTAATATTTTCATTTGATGTCATAACTACAAATATTTCTTAATCTAAAGGTCAAAACATGCGAATCACATACTTATTTTCATGAAGTAATCTATTAGTAAAAAGTCAAAATATATTTATTATTTTAAATATGCATATTTATAGGATGTGTTTTACTCGAGGAAGAAATTTGCAAAGCCAGAGCAACAACACAAGATACACAGAACTTTTGAAGATGAGGTAAATCATCAGACTATTTTTTAAACTGTCTTCTTCAGTGCAAGCCTCAACCTATCATTCTGACATAAATTTAAAAAAAAAGATTACTGTAAATTCAGAAATTATTGCAATGTTTTTATTATTGCGAAAAATGCGACAGGGTTGTAATCGCAATAATTTAAACTCGCATTTTGAAATTTTTTATATGAATTAAACAGGATTTTTTTCAATATCGCAAAAATTAAAATCGCATTTTATTCTAAAATGACAACATCGCAATAATAAATGCACGCAATAATTTCTGAATTTACAGTATATAAGAACATGAAGAACTTGTACTTGTTAAATGTACATCATATAATTACACATGGCACATTATGCAGTAAAAAATATTCAAAACAAGAGTTCAAGGCTCTTTTGCTCTCTTGAATCCTAGGGTCTTCAGTGAGACCCAAAGTCTTACTCTGTAGGTAGTCTACAGAAGTTCTAACAAGTTTCTAGCATAGATGTAAGCTCCAAGGTACAGCAGGGCTATCAGTGAATCTATCATTGAAAACTTTTTTAAATTTACCAAAAACAATCCAGCTGTTTATAAGACATTAGTATGTTAGTTACAATATATTAGAATTCACTGTCACTATTTACTTAGTGCATCTCATATTTAATGAAAAACTGCTTAAATTGCCTAATCTTTTAATATTCCCACAGATATTTAGATCTGAACAACATCCCTATGGAAAAGATAATTGTGCCACATGATGTCATATACACAGATGTTAATGCAAGTCTGTTGTCTGATTTTTATCGACATATCAATTCTAACATGTTTATAACATCACAAACGTGTGTGCTTATGTGATCACAAAGAGCAAATCCAGCTTATAGTGTTGTGCTTATGCTTGGCAGGCAGGGAAATGAGTGTACCTGTTTTGTGTAATCATCTTCTTAGTACACATACTTAGAACCAAAAGGCTTCGAATTTTACAGGATGATTAATGTATGTAGCTTCATGACCTAACTTAGATATTTATTTGAAGAATTACTGAAAATTCTCGAAATGGTGAAACTTTCTTCATTAGAGTCATTCATATTTATTTAGCCTTTCAAATTACTATCACAAGTATTTCAACCTGGCTCCTTTAGTCTCTTACCCATTTTTACAATTTCAGGGGCCAAGTGATGGCTTTTATCAGTGCCTCCTCTATTGTAATATTAATTCAGTCATGTCAGTGAAGTGTGTTTTTCTTTCAGGTACACCACCTTGATCAGTTGTTTAAAAGTAAGTAGTTTCTGACCAAAGATCTTGTATTCTAATGCAAAATTAATGAAACACATTTTTCATTGACTATGATAATTGTATGCTATTAAGTATGAGCAAAGGTTTCACTTTGCATGCTTTGAGTGAGATGTCATGTTGAATTTCCTCAATGTGACCTGATCAAGAATGTAACCAGCTTGGAAGACATAGTATGTAAGTGTAACAGATAACGTGAAACTTGATTTATATGATATGTTTTTATCTGATATTAATGTGCCAAAATCATTGAAAAAATGTTTTTAAATTTTTTATAGACTTTTATATACACCTTAAATATTAGAAAGGGTATCACTGGTTTGTTCAATAGTATTTAGTTGACTATACTAAGATTTTGCCCTTGCAAAATTTTTGCTGTTTAATAAAAAGATCTTTGAGACAAGAAACACAATTATTTGTATGAAAATGATGAAAGGAGAAGGTATGATCTACCAAATAACATACTTCAGATGTTCATAAGACATTAGTCTGTCTGACATGTTAATATATTCATTTTTAGCTCACCTGGCCCAAAGGGCTTTTCTCATCACTTGGCATCCGTCGTCCTCTGTTAACTTTTACAAAAATCTTCTCCTCTGAAACTGCTGGGCCAAATTTAACCAAACTTGGCCACAATCATCATTGGGGTATCTAGTTTAAAAAATATGTCCGATGACCCCGCCTGCCAACCAAGATGGCTGACATGGCTAAAAATAGAACATAGGGGTAAAATGCAAGTTTTGTCTATTATTTTGAAAACTCTTATAAATAGAGAAAATCTGACAGTAACATAAATGTTCAGAATGTTGAACCAATTGTCCAAAATATGTCAAAACTGTCAGACAACTTCTTGTAGGAGTTATTGCCCTTAAATGACAAATTTTACCATTTTTTTCATTTTTGCCTATTATCTTGAAACTGTAATAGAGAGAAACTTTAAATTGCAAAAATGATCAGCAAGACAAGTTCTATAAATAAGTCTAGCAAGGTTGAAATTGTCAGTCGACTCCTTATTAGAGTTATTGCCCTTTGATTTTTTACCAATTTTTTGTGTTTTGCCATATATCTTTAAAATTATAATAGATAGATAGAAACTTGAATAAGCAAAAATTATCAGCAAGACAAGTTATAGAAATAAGTCTAATGATCGAAATCATCAATCGACTTTATTAGAGTAATTGCCCTTTGATGATGATTTTTACCAATTTTTTGCGTTTTTGCCTTATATCTTAAAAATTATAATAGATAGATAGAAACTTAAATAAGCAAAAGTAATCAGAAAGACAAGATCTACAATTAAGACAAAATTGAGGAAATTGTCGGACGACTCCTTATTGGAGTTATTGCCCTTTACTGACGATTTGTACCTTTTTTTTTTGCGTTTTTCCTCATATGATAAAAATTATAATAGATAAATAGACACTTTAAATCACAAAAATGATCAGCAAGGCAAGATCTACTAACAAGTCAAATTATGCCGATAAAGTTAGTAGACTGTCACTCTTTACAGGAGTGATTGCCCTTAAATGAGGATATTTTTTACCCTCTTTTGTGTTTTGAGCAAAAAGTGATGAAAATAGAGAGAAACTAAACGATTAAATGATCAGCAATACAAGATCAACAAAACAGAGATTTTTGTCATGAATTCTATTCTCGTCTACAATGTTGGAGAGTGTCCTTTGTTGAATATGCACATAGACCAAGGTGAGCAACACAGGCTCTTTAGAGCCTCTAGTTTGTCTTATATTATTGCATGATGGCTTCAAACTTCTTACATTTAGTGCAAAACATCAAAAACTGCCAAAATAGCCTCATTATCAGAACTTGCCATTAAAATTTATATTTGAGCAAGAGCTTAACCCAAAAAGATGTTAAGGCGTATAAAATTTCTTTTTGGGTAAAAGCTCTTGCTCATATATATATTTTGACAAAAACTATGTGTGAACTGGCAATTTTAGGTAAAGTTCATAAAATTTTATATGCCATACTCAGCCATAGCATGATTGCCTTTTGTTACGTAGTCTCAAGGGATCAAAATCGGGATATGTCCGGCTGGCACAAATATTTTTTGGAAGCCCGGTGCCATATTGCGGTCACAAGTGACCATTCTGCACTAAAAGTTTCCAAATTAAAGCAACTGGTTCATTTATCGATAAAATATTTATAATGATTTTATAAAGACATGAATAAGTTTATTTTTTTTGTAATTTCAGGGGCCAAATAATTGTAGGTTTCATAATGAGTAAACATTAGATATCCCTTGATATCAACTTGAGTCATTTTATTCAATATAATAATAAATAAGCCTATGCCAGTTTATTATTACTATTTATATTAAATAACGAGAGTTGATATTAAGGGATATCCAATTTTCACGAGTTGTTAAACCTATTTCTCCTATGGTAAACATTCACTTCGTATTAAATAGAAAAGTATGCTTTTGCACATATCAGTAAAACCTCATATGTCCTCATGGTCCTGTTCTGGTGTCAAACTTTAATATTCGACATTTTAAAACTTTATGTACACTTCAGAATGTAATAAAATTTGACAAAAATAAGATTTCCAGATAAAAAATGTGAGTGTTTTATATATAATCGAAGAAATTATATATCTCTGTTGCCATGGAGGAATGTACATCGTTTTGACCTTTGAAAATCATCAATGACATAACGAATAACCGATGGAAAAGTTGCAATGTTGTTTAATGATGTTGGATAAGCCAATCAAATTAACACATTTTTCGTATCACTTTTTTGTATCAATTGCAGTGCATTGTGATGCGAAAAATATCTGTTCATGCGAGAAATAGATAACAGGCCACCAGCATAAGAGAATGGCTCTTATCATATCTCCTCATATTGATTGATGTAGAACAAAATTTTAATAGAACCTGTATATAAATGTTATTTGTAGATGGCGCAGCTTACACACTTGGGAAGATTAATAAAGACTGTTGGTAAGTTGATTATAATATACAGTTCCAATGTTTTTCACACACAAACATTTTATTGGACTTTTTCCCTTTTTCAAAAACCTATATATGCTATATCTATACACAAAACACACATTTCCTTTTATGCAGCAGAAAGCAGTAATTTTATGGCCATTCAAAATAATACCGCTGTATAAGGGTGCAGACTGATATACATGTACGTTGTCCATAGATGTCACCACATTCAGGGATAGGGATTTAGGGGAGGGGGTATTTCATCAACTACAGAAAAGGGGTTTGATGTAACTTCTTATAAATATCAATTGGGTAATTCTCAAACACACATATTTTATTCACATTGGCATAGAAATATCTATCTTTTACTTTAGCTTTAAAAGAATATAGTTCTTTTAATTTTACACTGATGATTTAATTTGAAAATATTCCAGATACATACAATGACATATAATAACCAAAGTTTCAAAAGCAATAGTATTACTAATTTTGCTTTTTAAGTACAAAAGCATTTCAAAGTATTCACATGATTCCATATCAAAGTATTTTAATTTATTTTCAGTATTAATAATATATCGTTTATCACAAAACATACCTTTTTATGAAGGAAAAACTGATTTTATCGAATTTTTACTCTTATAATAAATTGAAAATAGAGCAAAAATGATAGCATGAAAAGTTTGATTTAATTGTTTATATCGATCTTACTGAAATTATTTATTTTGTCCTCTTGAACAGGTTATCGGACCAAATGAAAATTGGTGCTTAAGACCATGGCCAAGGATGAACGGACGGTCATGACAAATTTTGATTGGCTTTGAAAGTATGACTACATTCACAAACTCAGTTTTCAAACTGAAATTTGATTGGTCAATTTAAATTATAACTGGGGTTCAGATTGGTCATACATCAGCCAGTTATATTTGTTATGACCCAGGTTGTACCTTTATACAAAGTTACCTGCTAATCACTCTTTGTGCCTTGCAATTAAGTAATGCTTAGTGTAATAAAATTTAAAAAAAAAACTGTTCTTAAATTTAATAGTTGATAGAAAAACTTGAAATATTGATTTTCAAGAAAAGAATGTGAAAGAGAAGTCTGTTTATTATCTGGTCTGTATCAACATGATCAAAGACAGTCCTTTGTGATAAGCAGTACTACTCAGTTTTTATTAAAATTGTTATATATACTTTAGTCTTTACTACACTTTTATAAAGTAAATTCCTCTTTGAAGAAGGTATTACTTCATTATAGAGACAATACTGTAGTATAAGATAGTGAAATCATACCTACCACCTGAACTGTTTTTTTTTTTGTCTCACCTTGATGAAATTGGGAAAGAGAGACTTAGAAGTGCTATTTCCGGCAGCATCAGCAACAACAATGTATTAGTTTGTCATTAGGTCAGTAAATGGGTAGCCACTAGTAGTAGGTCATTGATATTTGGTATGCAGTTGTATTAGTATTTGCACATCTCATTTCCATGGAGATTATTTGGCCCTTTTCCTCAGTCATGGTCTATTGACTTTGAAACTTGCTTAGTTTACAAGTCAAAGTTGTGATTAGGTTAGTTTAAGAGGAACCACTAATGGCAAGTCAATAATATTTGGTATGCAATTGTATTAGCATTTGCAAGTCTTATTTCCATGGATTTTATGTGTCCCTTCCACCTCATAATGGTTCATTGACTTTGATTTTTTTGCATAGTCTACATGTCAAAGTTTATGTTTAGGTCAGCTTAAAGGGAACTACTTATGATAAGTCAATGATATTTGGTATACAGTTGTATTAGCATTGGCATTTCTCATTTCAACAAAGATTATATAATCCTGCAGTCTGTACCTTTAGTTATGATTCATTATCTGAATGTTTTGCATAGTTTATATGTTAGAGTATTGCCATTTTATGTTTTAATATTTGCATTATACTATCAAAATTACATAAAGGCGAACCATATCAACAGTTTATCTGGTTCATAGATAGAAAGTTCTATAATCTGACACCAGTTGAAACAATGATAAGGCACTTTACTGTTGGCAACTTGCCAAGGTTACTAACGTTATCTATACCACCGGCTCTGAACATTTTAACATTGTATATATGATGTATAGTCCAACATAATTTGAAATCAGTGAAGTTTCTTTGACTGAGTAAATCTGGTTTCTACCCAATTTTGGACCACATTTCAAATAACTGTGATATATGTTTGCTGAATGTCCAGTTGCAAATATTTCATTCATATTCAGGACAATTTATATATTACACATAGCCAAACAGATGTCTCCCTCAGTAGTCAGTATATATATGTCAATGCTGGATGGGAGGGGTTCAGGTGACCATGTTTCTATATCCCAAGTCAACCTTTGGGAATTTAATTTCAAAAGTTCAAAGGTAATTTGCCAAGTTAAATCTGAAATTGATGTTGGCAAAATCTATAAGCCTATCTGAAAATAGATTGATCAATAACTGAGATTTCAACTACATTACTAATGAAAGTCAGATAAAAAGGTCCATAAATAGCCTTTAATTGTAATAGTTGATTGCAATCCACTCACATGATCCTAAAATCTGTCAAAAATTCTAGAAAAAAAGGAAAAAGTCCGCACTCTCCTGAGATTTATAACTTTGTGTATGACCTGCATTTTCCTTTTCAAAGATTGTCAGTTATTCCTGTAGAGAGTTTGTATATATCTCACCAGGAAAATTTCTGCTACTACCAAAACCAGACATATTATTTGTATAAAGCACTATATGTATATGATCTCCGATATCTCCTCTGCTTGTATTCATATTTAAAAAAGGGAAGAGAAAATTGTATGTATCTGAATGTTTTTACAGACTATAATGTAAATATATATTTGTACATGTATTGGAATAAGTGAAATTACTTGAGATAACTGGTTTTTGAGTTTGATATATAAATATATATATTTTGATATATGCAATATATATGCATTATGATTCTTAAATGAATTTAATAATATACACTGGGTAAAGACTGAAAATACTTTTGTCACATTGACATTCACAACTTTTTCTTCTTATTTAATGAAATATGACAGAATTGTGCATTTATCTAGGATACTTCATAAGTTATCACAGTTGAAAATTAATCAATAACATTATTGAAAAATCTATATGTAGATCTCATTCCTGTAATTAGAGTGTTCCATACAGTTTTCTTACATGTTTTTAAAATAAGGGATAGAAAAGTCATGATGATACTATAGCCTTAGATATAAGAAATTATTTGTCTGCCCTTCCTACAATAGAAGACCAGGGGCATTATGTTTCCCAGCTTGTACATCCTTGTGTCCTTTTGTCCATTCTTCCTTCCCAATATACGTGAAAGTTTTTTGTTAATGTAGGTTTAAATTAAGGTTTAAGATACGTATGTAGTATACCATGAAGTTGTGGTCACACATTTTCAAACTTATTACACATGTTCTGAACTTTTCAAAATAATTTTCTGAAAATGGAAATGTAATAGTGTGAGATGTCCTATTGACACATTTCTTAATTATAATAGCTAATAATTTTGTTGATATTTCTTCATGGTCAGGAGTAAATTGTCAGAAATTCTTGATGATTAACGAAATACCGAAAATAATATTACAGTATATTTCCACACAGAAAGTGGTCCTTTAACCTTATATATTGGGCCTTAATAGTCATTCAGATTAACTTTTAATTTCGGGATATAGAAAAGTTTTTACACACCTGATGATGAAACTGATAATCATATTCAGACAAAGAGCCCAACTGTTTATTATTTCTCTCAGCTCTGCAGTTATTGTCCTAATTCTTATGGAAACAACAAATCATTGAAGAAATTTTTTGTAATTGAATCAAGGTAAATTAGAAGCACAAAAACAAAATTTAGAAATAACTTTTTGACCGATTTATTGTTGATAATAAACAGATACAATCACAATAATTTGGTTTTTGTTTAAAATTAGTATTTGATTTTGATCTTTCTTTCAAATTATAATCAGGAAAAAAGTTTGTAATTAGGTTTTTTCAACTTTATATAAATCTAATACATGTATATGGTACAATTCTTAATTTGACAGCTTTTTATTTGTGAATGAAATCTTGAGTAGTTATATTGAATGTTTCAGGCACTTGTACATGTTGGAAGATGTACCTGGCGTGAAAGATCCAGATCAGACCATTGAAATATCCTTTAAAATACAAATCCAATTAACATTTTAATGAATTTTTTTACCTTTTTCTTTCTCTTTTTATTTTATTTTTTTTTTTCATGATTTTTGGAGGGATGAAAAGGGGGTGTGTACTATATACGGCTAAATACGGTTTATCATCTTTTCTTTACTGTTGTACTACAAATATCTATATATGACCATATGGTGGGGTTAAACTTGACTATTTGAGATCTCCAGGTATATGATATATGTTGAACAAGTCTTATATTTTCTTTTTAAAATAAGTGCCAAGGTTTTAGGGATTAAATTTAATGGCTGATGATTAAGAGATTGTTTTTAATAAGGAGATGTGGTATGATTTCCAATAAGACCATTATGTACCAGAGTTTAAATGCATGGATGTTTATTTATCTCTCTAAGCATACTTGTATTTGAATGCTTTTAATACAAATGTTTTCGCTCAATTCATGTGCAGTTAGGGAACATCAACTGGCAGAGCCAGCATTTTACTTGTCTTTATATGTTACTACAATGTACTTAAAATTTATCCTTAACCTATGAACCTTTTAATGTGGGACATGTGTCCAGAGAAGATGAAGATATTTACCAAGGAAATTTCAGAAAATGGTTCAGAAGCTACAAAGGTAGTAATCATGTATTAAGTCTTGTTATCTTTCAGCTTAACTGAAAATTTTTATTGGATAGGGGTGAAGGTAATTTTTCTTGTTTGATAAATATTTTTCTAGAAAGAAAACTGCATCAAAGCTATAAAAGGCCCGGCAATGACAAATATAAAACAATTAAAAAGAAAAATTTAACAGCCTGATTTATGTACAAAACAATAAACGAAAAACAAATATGATATACGACAACAAACAACAACCACTGAATTACAGGCTCCTGACTTGGGACAGGCATACAAAAATTAATTTTGTTAAAAAAACAAGCATGTTTTAAATGAACATAATGAACATAAAACATAGCCTGAAAATTCATTTATTTTTTAGAAATCTGGGATAATTGATATCATACCAGGTCTTCAGATTGACGACTTCTTGTTTGAACCATGTGGATATTCTATGAATGGAATTCTGCCAGGGGTAAGTACAAGATACTTTATCTATGGGTGAATTCTGCCTGGATTAAGTACTGGGTCATATTTAACACAATATTTATACGCCCAAGGGTATTCTCGGACATGTTTTTCTACAGAGCCATTTTATTTGCTTCTGATTAAATGCCATTTAAATATCCCATTTCATTCTTGCAACAATTTTAATATGCACTAGAAAGGTGTATCATGCCCTCTTGGCACAGCTGTTTATTTATTTATTTTGTTCATCAATTTTCCATTTAAACATAGTATGAGTGTAGGAAGACATACAATATGTAATAGAAATTTTTTGAACTGCATGACTTTATCTGAGGTAGTGTTAAATTTCAAATAGAAGCAATTCTTAACCTCGTATCAATTTCTGAGGTTTTGTATTTCAAATAGAAGGGAAACTCAACCTTATATAGATATCTAACTTAAAGTTGAATTTCAAGTAGAAGTGATTATGAACTGTTTACGGTATGGTTTTGCTCATTGTTGAAGGCTGTACGGTGGTCTATAGTTACTTACATCCTTGATGGATATTTGTCTCATTTAGGATCATATCAAATCTCCTTATCTTATATTCATGTAAATTTCTGAGGTAAAAGTTGAATTTGGAATAGAAGTTTTTCAGATTTTCATGTTAATTTCTCAATTACTACTAGATAGTGATGAGTTGTAAAGTGTGAGCACTTTTTAATCTGTTCAACACCTACTTCTTGTTAAGTTTTCTGATACTTTGAATTACGGGGTGGGGTAAACCTAACTCAACAACATGTTTATTTTTCTTTTCTAGGGATATTACATTACTATTCACATTACACCAGAGCCACATTGCTCCTATGTTAGTTTTGAAAGCAATGTTCCTCAAGTAAGTACTGTTCAAACTAGAGAATTTTATTTTGAAAGAGTTGATTAACATACTCCTAAATAGATTTGGTGCATAAGAGTTGTACTTTTCTATCATCACACAAATTTTGTTTTGTGTAAAGTAGTACTGTACAATGTTAAAGGGGCACTAGCTACGAGATATATGAAAAATCTAATATATGATTTTTTTTTTTTTTCAATCATTAATGAAAGTGAAATAGTGAAATAGTTATTCCCTTTTAGCCGCCAGGATGGTTCAATTTTGTCAAAATAAGCTAAGAAACATTGATGATGAATTATTCACTTGCAAGTGAATAATTCTACCTCATTAAATCTGTATTCATGTGAACTTCAATTTAACCCCTTATCTAGAGATGGATAACACGTGAATTGTAAGTGTAAAGTTATTTAAAGGAAAAGAATGTCATCATTGAAAGTGAAACAAAGGTAAATCATTTGATTGACTGATCTGATCCATAAAAAATCATTCTTATACAGGTAAAAACGATGATAAACATATATTTTTATCTATAATATGAAATTAAACAGACCTTGAAAAATGCAATTGCACGAGTTCGCTTAATCTATTTATATCTTTATTTATGTTTACATCGCTTATATGGTCATCAGATGACTTTGGAGGTCAACTTGATAGTTAATTAGATGGCGTCTAGACTAAAATACACACGAAACGAAGCTATGTGTTATCATCCCATGTACTGTTAACTGTTTATTTTAGACTTTTAATAGTTTGGATAAATATTTTACATTGTTATAAATCAAATATGAGAATTTGAGTCAAATCGGTGAACATGAATTTGACAGCTAGTGCCCCTTTAACACTAAGTTCCTAGAGATCACAACAGTTATATGGAAAACAAATATTTTACAATATACATGTGGTCACAAAGAAGAACAATTTTGTATAAAAAATATATCAAGGCAAACAAATTCTTTTTTTTGTTGTTTTTACAAAATTTCATTTTTTTTATCAGGGAAAATTCTTTGTGTTGCTGATTTTTTTCATAACTGTAGTTGACACACATTACTGAAACTCTATTTTGATTGCCCTCCCCAAATCTTAGTTTTTTGTCGAGCCTGCGACTTATGTCGCAGAAAGCTCGACATAGGGATAGTGATCCGGCGGCGGCGTTAGCTAACTTCTTAAAAGCTTTATATTTTAGAAGGTAGAAGACCTGGATGCTTCATACTTTGTATATGGATGCCTCATGTTACGAAGTTTCCGTCAGTCACATGTCCAATGTCCTTGACCTCATTTTCATGGTTCAGTGACTACTTGAAAAAAAAGTTAACATTTTTTGTAATGTTAAATTCTCTCTTATTATAAGTAGTAGGATAACTATATTTGGTATGTGCGTACCTTGCAAGGTCCTCATGCCCGTCAGACAGTTTTCACTTGACCTAGACCTCATTTCATGGATCAGTGAACAAGGTTAAGTTTTGGTGGTCAAGTCCATATCTCAGATACTATAAGCAATAGGTCTAGTATATTCGGTGTATGGAAGGACTGTAAGGTGTACATGTCCAACTGGCAGGTGTCATCTGGCCTTGACCTCATTTTCATGGTTCAGTGGTTATAGTTAAGTTTTTGTGTTTTGGTCTGTTTTTCTTATACTGTATGCAATAGGTCTGCTATATTTGGTGTATGGAATGATTGTAAGGTGTACATGTCTAGCTGGCAGGTGTCATCTGACATTGACCTCGTTTTCATGGTTCAGTGGTCAAAGTTGAGTTTTTGAGTTTTTGGTCTTTTTTTCTAATACAATATGCAATAGGTCAACTATATTTGGTGTATGGAAATATTTTATGATCTATATGTCAGTCGAGCAGGTTTTATATGACCTTGACCTCATTTTCACGGTTCATTGCTCAGTGTTAAGTTTTTGTGTTTTGGTCTGTTTTTCTTAAACTATAAGCAATAAGTCAACTATATTTGTTATATGGAAGAATTGTTAATTGTACATGTCTGCCTGGCATGGTTCATCTGACCTTGACCTCATTTTCATGGTTCATTGGTCAGTGTTTAGTTTTCTTGGTTAATGTTAAGTTTATGTGACAGTTGTAATAAAGCTTTATATTTAGGACTATCAACATAATATCAATGATTAGTAAAGAAGGCGAGACATTTCAGCGTGTGCACTCTTGTTTTATATATATATAGTTTCTTTGCTCTCCCAACGTTTGATATTTGATATTTTTGACTGTCTAAATGTTACGTATCATTTCTTAAGCTTATTCTAAAAACATGCATGTGCAGAAAAAATCCTAATCGATAATTTTTAAAGGCTGCTGTAATAAAGTGAGTTTTATTTCGTTTGCAGGAATCATATTATGATTTGGTTCATAAAGTATTGGGTTGCTTCAATCCAGGGAAATTTCTGATGACTGTCTTCTCTAACAAGGTGAGTATCACCATGCAAGTAATATAAAATTCCATTTATAAACCTGTTAGTCACCCCTGTGTATAACCAAACCAGTACAGCTAAAGGCTTCAAAATGAGTGAAAATTGGATATCGTTTGATATCAACTTGAGTTATTTAATTCAATATAATAATCAACGAGTCTGTGTGAGTTTATTATTATTATTGAAATTAAATAATGATAGTTGATATTAAGGTATATCCAGTTCTCACAAGTTGTTAAATTTATTTCACTGTAATATGGTAAAAAATTATCTTTTTGTTAAAAAAAATTTAGGGCAAACATTGTACTTGCCTTTTGCACCTAAACAATATGACATCAGAAGTTTGCTTCCTGTGTTAAACATCTTTAGAATAAATTCAAATTTGAAAAAAAGAACATTTTCAGGTGAAATATGTGAGTGTTTTGTATATTATTGAAGAAATCACAAATCTTTTTTGCCACATGGGAAAAGAGTCCATTATGACCTTTGAAAGTCATCATTGACCTAACATGTAACCCATGGAAATTGTTGCATTTTCGTATCACACTGCAACATAGGCCAACCAAATTAACCAATTTTTCATATCACTTATTCATATACACTGTTCAGTTTGATACCAGAAATATCTCTCTTCATGTTAGAAATAGAAAACAGGCCACAACCATAAGAGAATCCTTTTTATCTCATTAATTCATTGTAAGGTATGACCTTCACATGACTACAGTTCTGTGAACGAATAGATAAATGTCAATATATCATTTCTTTGTTTTAGATTTCCATTGCCAAAGAGTCTCACAAGCATTTTGAAGATTTGTACCGGTTGAAAGGCTATAAGAGGAAAGATCATCAGTTCTGTGCCTTCCAGAACTACAATCTTACTTACACCATGTACACACGACCAATCATCTAGGAGATGTGGTCCGGAAGTCTCCCAATTGAGGTCCAGAATGTAGATAATGTGTGGACTCAATGTAGCCTTTGCAGCTGTCCTGGGAAACTTCCGCTTTATATTTGTAGTATTAGATTTGCTTTCAATATTACTATATATTTATTTGTAACAATGTGTGTGTATTATGTACATCTTTGGGCTACTTCTAAAACAAGAAAGAAGTACCACTTAAGATTCAATTTCAACTGTCAGAAACCTAGATAAATTGGCTTTACCTTTGATAGACTTTTCCAGCATTTTGTATATTTAAGGTCTGTTTTAGGATCATGATTGTTATACTTAAGAATACTACAAATTTTTACTTTTAAGTTTTTTATTTGTAATAGTGGAATATGAGGTTTTTTCTCATATTAGTTTTTGTAGCTAGTGTGTTTTTAATTTCTTTTATTGAGCAAAATTTTCTTTTTGTTTAACCTCAATTTATTTTCACATTTTCCGAAGAAAAAGTTTTATGGTTTAATATCTAATAAAGTGCTTATATTAATACAATTTTGAATTAAATCCTAATGATGGTACTTGAGGTGGGTACCAGTGTGATTGAAATAAATTAAAAAATAATAAACCGGATTATATGATTTTTCAACAGGTTACCTTTTCTGTGGTAGGACATCCTGGTACCAAGTCAAGTAAGATCAAGGTAAAGAAGTAAAACCAAGCTTTCAATCGGTACAATTTTGGGGGAAAATTAACTGTTTTACATTTTTTTTACACGACAAAAGCATCGGAAAACAGTAAACTTTCCCCTTAAATTACACCGATTTTATGTTTGATTTTACTTATTTTTGTTGCTCTTACAGGACCGAGTACCAGGATGTCCATCCAAAGAAAAGGTAACCTGTTGAAAAATTATATAATCCAGAGTCAAAAGTCAGTAAGATGAAAATAGTCTATTATAAGATCTAGATATGACATATTTTAAGGGCCTTTTGTGCTAAAACAGCAAAGTTTTACAAATTTATACGAATTTGTTCGAAAAAAATGTAAATGCAACTTCACATTTTAAGAATATTCACTCAGATTTTAAGGTAAAAAGATGACAAAATTACAGTAGTTTCGATTTTTTTGTCAGTTGGAAATATCAAGTGTATGCAAAACCATATGAAAATTTATAAGAGGGGTGGTTTTCAAATTGACAAATACTGTGGAAAATCATCTAGTGGTTCTCATATGAGTTCTATATTTGAAAATCTGAAATCCAATTAAAAAACAAAAATATCTATCCTTCTTCATAAACATGCTTAGAAATCTCCTTTATATGCTATCGTTATTTCATGTATTGTCATACCATGGGTCCTTATTTATCTGGTTTCAGTTTTGTAATATTTCAATTTTGATAAAGACAAAATTGAAATATTCCAATAGCAATTTTTTGTAACTTCCTCAAAATGCATTTACAGAATACAAATACAAAATTTGAATGTGACTTTCTGAGGGCATTGATAGAATTTTGTGTTCAGATTTTCAACTGTTTTGTAATATTTCTGTTTGGCCAGTAATGTTTACATTTATACATCTGAATTTTCTATATGCATGGCTGCCTTGTTATTTTTATGGAAAAAGGCAGTCAGTCAAAATCATTTGAATACTTAGTTGTTTGTGGGATAATTATTAACCATGGCTTTCATTTAAATATAGGTGTGAATGTGTTCATTTCCTTTTAAAGGCTTGTGCTCAGATTTTGTCAAAACCACAAAATCAAATATCTAGGTAAATAGTTTTTCCTCAATCCATGAAAATAAATAAATCAAAAGTATATAATTTTTAGCCATCATGGCTCTTCCAAAACTGATCATGTAGGGGGATTGAAGCACTTAATTAATGGGGGATGTTTGCATTTATTTTCCTTAGAATTTTAGTAAAATAAAAATCTAATATTATGGGTTGTTGGAGTATTAAAAAAGTGACTCCATGTCCCCATATGTTTAATTCTGGAACATATATACAATACATGTACAAAGTATTTGCTCCTCAAGACAATTTTCATTTTGATTAAAATCAGATCTTTTACACACCCTAAAAAACAAATCTATCAGAACATAGTGAAAGATCTGATTTTAATCAGATTGGCTTATTTTAAATTAGATTTTATAAAGGCACTTAAAAAAACATTTAACTGCAGTCGTTGACATCAACAAACATGTCATCTGGATGGACTTGTTTTCTATAACTGTGTAAAAACATTGGAAATAAAATTTTAACACTTCAAACCATGAAAATGTTTCATTGTAAATTTTGTTATTGTAAAATTAAACCAAACCTGGCCCCAATAAATAACAATAATTTTTCTGTTTTATCCAAAAAGTTGGTCTATGCTGTGGTTTTGAATATGGGTTGTGCTTGAGAAGCTAAAAATACTTTGTCTTAGACTAAATGACTACATGAAACTTTTAAAATGCTGTACTTTTATAATTGAATGTGATGACTGAGCTATTTAGCATATTTGAATTACCGTGCTTTTACAGGAAGATTTTTTGTCCCCCGCGTAACACTTTGTGGGGGACATCGAAATACCGGGCGTGTGTCCGTCCGTCCGTTTGTCCGTCTGTCCAGTCTTGTTAGCACTCTCACAGGTACAATTCTTGCCAAATAATTATAAAACTTATACTTTAGGTTAATATCAGCAATATCTCGGACAAGTTCTATAATGATGGCCGATCGACTTTTTTAAAAGAGTTATGACCCTTGGAAATATTAAATTTATGGAAAATGGCCTCATTAGCGCTCTCACGGGTACAATTCTTGCCAGATTTTATATAAAACTTATACTATAGGTTAATATCAGCAATATCTTGGACAAGTTATATAATGGTGTATGATCAACTTTTTTTAAAAGAGTTATGACCCTTGGAAATATTAAATTTATGGAAAATGGCCTCGTTAGCGCTCTCAAGGGTACAATTCTTGCCAGATTTTTATAAAACTTATACTACAGATTAATATCAGCAATATCTTGGACAAGTTTTATAATGGTGGACAATTGACTTTTTATTTTGAAAGAGTTATGACCCTTGGAAATATTAGATTTATGGAAAATGGCCTCGTTAGCGCTCTCACAGATACAATTTTTTATAAAACTTATAGTATACTATAAGTAATGCCCTTGAAGGTCTGTTTGAAATATTTAGTATACAATAAAAAAACCTTTTTTGTCCCCAGCACAAGCTTTTTATTTATAAATTGTTTTGAAGAACAACAAAAAAAGTTTTTTTTTTTTAATTATTGCCCCTGGATAGATAGAATATGTGCAACGCGGGGGGACATTGGAACTCTATTCTTTTATTCATATTGCAAAGTATATCTGATAATTGTTATGACAGTAATATATATACATATTTATTGTTTTCCAATTACTTTCTTACTTTTGTTAAATCATCAGATAATTTGGAATTTTTCATATTTTTGTATACAATTAGTCAACAAATATACTCTACTTAAATCTGTCGCCTGTTTATTTGAAAACAAATCTCTTTGTCAAGTGTTCAAAATGTTGTTGAAATATTTCATGTTAAATATATATACCGGTAATAACAGTACATAATAGACATTTTTCTTTTGTTAAGTTAACAACATTGTTGAAAATATACTAGTTTGTTGTTGAAGACATATAAAGTTGTTAAATATAATCATATATATATTGTCTTGTTAAAAATTTGTCAACAAACATTTCAGATATCTTGTTCTTGTTAAAAAGTCAGAATTTTGTGTAATGAATATGTCTCTTAAAAAATTATGTTTTTTACCATTTATGACAGCTACTGAATTTTATTCTACCATTTAAAATTTGTTATAATTGATCAGTTGTGACATGTGGTTGCATTTGAATATGTTTAATATGAAGATGTGATGGTTGTTAAGTTCATCTTTATTAGTTGTGTTCATATTATATATATTCAAAGTATCAATTTCGAAGGAGAAAAAATCCAATTGTTTCTTTCAGAATTGAAAAGTTATTGAAAGTAATAAAATAAATGCAGATTGACTTGTTTAATATGGTAATCACAACTATTTAATGTCAGATGGCCGGATTAAAAAAATAAAATATGTATAGTGGCCAAGATATGATTTTGATAATACAGTATTGAGTTAAATTTTACCATTTGGGTACAATGATCAACGTACATATAGAGTCTTTTTTTAAATTTACTGTAAAGTTGACAATTCTTTCCATTTCTTCAGTTTATATATAAAAAAAAATACCAAAATCAATACTAATAGCATAATACTCAGTCATTTGCTCACAGTTTATTAAGTGAAATCCATATGAATAGCTTTGGAAAGATAGTTATGTTAACAGAAATAATCCTGATAAATGATATATGCATTCTTACATTGTGAGTAGTTTGTTAACTTTCTCCTATTAAATGAGTCTTGTCAAATTGGTTGGTTGTTTTATTATTGTCTAGCATGTAACAAAAATCCCTTGGTATGAAACACAGTATTACTTTTCTGACATTAACAGCATCATTATCCATTGTACTGTGGATTCATTTCTTTTCGTGGGTACCAATTTTCGTGGATTAAGGAAAACTTACGTGTTCGTGGATATTTAATTTCGTGGTTTTGCCGAAGTCTGTATAACAAGCCTATAGAATTTTTTTTATTCGTTGAACATTTAATTTCATGGTTCACCTGTACCCAGGAAATCCACGGAAATTGGTATCCAACGAATAATAATGAATCCACAGTAAATATCTTGATGTTTTATTCCTTCATTCACATGGGTTGAGAAAAACTTATTCACTCAAAAGCTTTGATAAGACCTTGTCAGCAACGATTTATAATAAAGTCACAAGTTGGTATGTTGATTAATTATTAGGCCTTGACCTCATTTTGACTCTAGTTTTATGTTAATGTTTTTTTAGCTTCATTAATGTTCCCAATAACTATGCAATACTGTATAATATACATATCAATTTAGTATGTAAATTCTTGTTAAAAGAATGATATATGTTCGTCTGACATGTGTCATTATACATGGGTCTAAGTTTCTTTGTTGATTAATTTTTGTCTTGCATGTGACAAAATTTGCAGAATGTAAAACACATGGATTACAATCTGACAGCAGTGTAACCAATTGTATGAAACTTTATACATGCATTTCAAGGGCTAGAAGACCAGGATGCGTCTTACCATGTATATTAATATTTTCCCGCGTTTCGATCAGTATAGCGGGAAAATGTTGTATTCTCGGTATGGAATCGTTAATTTTCGGTAGGCCAATGTACATCTATCCAATCAGGGGGCTGAGTTGTGGTCATATATAAGGTGTTTTTTTGTGTGGTAACTTCACTTCTAACCGTCGTATTGACCGAGTAAACTCCATTATTTTAAATGATGTTTATATATCTATTGTTAGACAAATATTTTTGCTTTTCGTTAACTGTTTGAACCGACGAGGTCCGACGTCATTATCCTGAGATAGACTCGAGCATTGATTCGGATACAGGTTTCCGTAATACGGTTTTTCCTGGTCGGCCTTGGCTATCAATGAGGGGTAATTTATTAAACGTACAGCTGCCAATATTTTGATATTTTGCTGTGTTTTGTACATAATGATATGATTGGTGAATGAAAATGCCGATTGATTACTGATTTATATGTTTTATTTGATGATATGTCACGATTATATATTATATACAATTATATCTGGCATCCATCACGTACGACGGGCTGTCGGCAAATTTGAATTTGTGTTTGAGTTTTATTTTTCTGCCATGCGTACAAAAAGGTGTTGTTGGTGTGCTGTCAGTGGCAGAAAAGGGTGTCATTTGTGTGTCTGTCGTCTGTAGTATAGAGAATACTGATGCATTATGTTACCAAGTTTTCTAATGTCAAATGTCTGATGTCCTTGACGTCATTTTCATGGTTCAGCAACTACTTAAGAAAACTGTAGTTTTTATACGACCGCAAAAAAAATTTGCGGTCGTATTTTGGTATGACGTTGGCGTCGTCGTCCGAAGACACATTGGTTTTCGCACTCTAACTTTAGTTTGAGTGAATGGATCTCTATAAAATTTTACCATAAGGTTCAATACCACAAAAGGAAGGTGGGGATTGATTTTGGGGGTTATGGTACCAACAGTTAAGAAATTAGGGGCCAAAAATAAGCATTTTTGTAACTTCCAGAAATAACTTGTGTGTTAGTGTATGGATCTCTCTGACATTGTACCACAAGGTTCCATATCACACAGGGAATGCTGGGATTGATTTTGGGGGTAATTGCCTCCAAATTTTAGGAATTAGGGGCCAAAAAGGGGCAAAAAACAAGCATTTTTCTAGTTTCATGACAATAACTTGTGTGTAAGTGTATGGATCCCTCTGACATTGTACCACAAGGTTCCATATCACAAAGGGAATGCTGGGATTGATTTTGGGGGTAATTGCCTCCAAATTTTAGGAATTAGGGGACAAAAAGGGGTAAAAAACAAGCATTTTTCTAGTTTCATGACAATAACTTGTGTGTATTTGTATGGATCTTTATGAAATTGTACTACAAGGTTCCATATCACAAAGGGAAAGCTGGAATTGAGTTTGGGGGTAATTGCCCAAAACGTTTAGGAATAAGGGGCCAAAAATAAGCATTTTTCTAGTTTCCAGACAATAACTTGTGTTCAAGTGTATGGATCTCTCTGAAATTGTACTGCAAGGTACCATACCACAAAGGGAAGGCTGGGATTGATTTTGGGGGTAATTCCTTCAAAATTTGAGGAATTAGGGGCCATAAAGGGGCAAAAAAACAAGCATTTTTCTAGATTCAGGACAATAACTTGTGTGTAAGTGTATGGATCTTTATGAAATTGTACTGCAAGGTTCCATATCACAAAGGGAAAGCTGGGCTTGAGTTTGGGGGTAATTGCCCTAGACGTTTAGGAATTTGGGGCCAAAAAGGGTAAAAAAAACAAGCATTTTTCTAGTTTCCAGACAATAACTTGTGTTCAAGTGTATGGATCTCTCTGAAATTGTACTGCAAGATACCATACCACAAAGGGAAGGCTGGGATTGAGTTTGGGGGTGATGATTCATAAGGGGGTTCAAAAAATTGGGGGGGGGGATTTTTTTTCCTTTTTTTTCTTTAAAATTTTCCATTTTAAATTGGTTATTTCTGATTTATATATAAAAGCAAATAATAATGATATGGTTTGAATAGGTAAATTAAAAAAATTTAAGTTGTTAGACCACATTCATTCTGTGTCAGAAACCTCTGCTGTGTCAAATATTTAATTACAATCCAAATTCAGTGCTGTATCAAGCTTGAATGTTGTGTCCATACTTGCCCCAACTGTTCAGGGTTCGACCTCTGCGGTCGTATCAAGCTGCGCCCCAGCGGAGCATTTTATTTTGTCATGTGAACTTCTCACTTATTATGAGTAATAGTATATCTATATTTGGTATATGGGATCCTTGCAAGGTCTACATGTCCATCAGACAAGGTTCACATGACCTCGACCTCATTTGATGAATCAGTGATCAAGGTTAAGTTTTCGTAGTCAAGTCCATATCCCAGATACTGTAAGCAGTAGGTCAACTATATTTGGTGTATGGAATGATTATTAGGTGAACATGTTTGTCTGGCAGGTTTATCTGACCTTGACCTCATTTTCATAGTTCATTGGTCAATGTTAAGATTTTTTCTCAAATACTAGAAGCAATTGGTCAACTACATTTGGTGTATTTAATGTTTACAAGGTGTTCATGCCTGTCTGGCAGAGTTCATTTGACCTTGACCACATTTTCATGGTTCATTGGTCAATGTTAAGTTTTGTTTCCCAAGTGACTTCTTTGCCCTTAATTTCAAACGGTTTAGAACAAGTTAAGAAAACGAAAGCTTTTGCTAATATTCAGCCTCTTTTGCAGATATGTAGCTATCTATAAAACCTCTACTTAATTTTCGACGTGTGAATTTGATATCTTTAGAATAATGTAAATGTAACCATGCAAGAGTATTTTTTTAAAGATTTGCATAATGTACATTTGAATTCCTATCTGAACTGTAGTCCTGTGGTCAAAATTAATTTTATAGCATCTAAAATCACTTTCAGAAGTTTGAACCATGCACAGTAGTTCATTTTTTGGGATAGAACTCCACATTGATCGAATTCAGATGTAAGGTAAATATTGGGTGATGTACAGGTGTTTGCAGTCAATGGATTGGCATTTATCAGGCAGTCAATGGATGAACAGATCATGACAGTCGATGGATGGGCAGATGGCAGGTGTCTTTCAGTCTATGGATGGGCAATTGCCGTGCAGTCAATGGAGGGTAGGTGTCAGACAGGCAATAGATGGACAGGTAAAACACAATTATTGGATGGAAGATGACAGGCAGAGAATGAATGGGCATGTACCTGCATGTGCCTGGCAGATGACTGGCAGTCAAGATCAATGGATGGATATGTCTACCTTGCAGTCAATGGATGGGCACATGTCAGGCAGCCAATGAATGGGCAGGTGACAGGCAGTCAATGGATGGGCAGGTGTCAGGCAGTCAATGGATGGGCAGATGACAGGCAGTCAGTGGATGGGCAGATGACAGGCAGACAATGGATGGGCTGGTGTCTTGCAGTCAATGGTTGGGTATGTCTACCTTGAAGTCAATAGATGGACAGGTGTCAGGCAGTCAATTAATTGGCAGGTGTCTGGCAGTCAATGGATGGGCAGGTCTCCAGCAGTTAAATGATAGGCAGGTTTTTTAAGGCAGTCAATGGATGAAGATGTGTCTGGCATTTAATTGATGGGCAAGTGTCAGGCAGTCAATGGATGGGCAGGTGTCTGGCAGTCAATGGATGGGCAGATGACAGGCAGACAATGGATGGGCAGATGACAGGCAGACAATGGATGGGCAGATGACAGGCAGACAATGGATGGGCAGATGACAGGCAGACAATGGATGGGCAGATGTCAGGCAGACAATGGATGGGCAGATGACAGGCAGACAATGGATGGGCTGGTGTCTTGCAGTCAATAGATGGGTATGTCTACCTAGCAGTCAATGGATGGGCAGGTGTCAGGCAGTCAATTAATGGGTAGGTGTCTGGCAGTCAATGGATGGGCAGGTCTCCAGCAGTTAAATGATCGGCATGTTTTTTTATTAGGCAGTCAATGGATGAAGATGTGTCTTGCATTTAATTGATGGGCAAGTGTCAGGCAGTCAATGGATGGGCAAGTGTCAGGCAGTCAATGGATGGGCAGGTGTCAGGCAGTCAATGACCAAAATATGTTACTTGTTCTGAATAATCATCTGAAGTTTGCAACACAACGTCTCCAAGCGTTCTAGAATGAATGTATATATATTGAAAATTGTGATTTTCCCTTTATGTGCACTAAGACTGTAGATAATTTTGTAGATTTTGGACATGGTAAAACTCAAGAATTGTTTCAT